ATGCAGCAACTGGCTGATCTCCTCAAATCTCTTCTAGGGAATCAGATCGACACCAGTGCACTTGCTGCAATCACAGCCTTTCCCACTGCTTCTCCACTTGCTGCTTACAGCAGTTCTGATACAGCTCCTGCCCCTCCAACTCCTCCTCCTGATGCTGCTGCTGCTATTCCAGTTGCAGGCTGTTTCCGACCCTTTGGAGGCAATGTTTCAGTACCCTCATACTTCGCTGCACCACCCTCGACATCAGTCCAGCAGGGGAAAAGGCACAAGGCACAGCACGCAGTAACATTAGGCCACCAACAGCAGCAGCAGCAGCAGCAGCAGCAGCATGGCCAGTACCAGCAGCATCAGATGCTTCAGCAGCACCTGCCTCAGCGGCAAGGAATCTGTCACACCGTCCCTCTACCACTTCAGGCTCCCCTTCAAGTCGCCAACCAGTATGAAACGCCCTCTCATGCCTCCTACACCCAGTTGTTGCAAGGGGCGTTGGAGGGACACGGCGAGCAAGGGAGGTTAGACGTGAGTAGCTCGGGTGACAGTCTGCTGCATTCCAGTGTGTGGGACAGAGGTGCGGCAGAGATTTCTGGAGGAAGGATGGATGGAGAGAGGAAAGGAGGAGGAGAAAATGGTGGGGTCGGTGGTTTGGAGGCGATTTTTCGGCTTACCAGCACGTATGGAGGAGCACGGGGCTCTGGGATGGTGCACAGAGAAGCTGTCTTGCCGGGACGGGTGGGAGTTGCAACAGCAGGAGTGGCAGCAGCAGGGGTGGCAGCAGCAAGGGTGGCAGCAGCTTCTGTGAGAGCTGGATTAACCAGGGAACAATCAACTGAGGAAGTTTTAACTGGGGAAGAATTAACTGGGGAAGAATCAACTGGGGAAGAATTAACTTGGGAAGAATCAACTGGGGAAGAATTAAGTGGGGAAGAATCGACTGGGGAAGAATTAAGTGGGGAAAAATCAACTGGGGAAGAATTAACTGGTGCAGGTGTCATGGCAGTAGGGGGTGGGGTTTCAGTGGCAGGGGTAACTGCAGCAGCGATTGGAGGAGGGGACCTGCTGACATCGCTAGATGGGTTGGAGCTAGCAGATATAGAGGCGCTTCTACTGAATGTGGAGGGAGAGTTGGAATTTATCAGCAGCAGCATGGTCAGCGAGTTCAGCCAGCCTCACAGCCAGCCTCCTTGTAGCAGCACTGTCTGCACCATTGAGCCCATTAGCAGTGGCATGGCCATCAGCCAGCTGCCTGAGGGACTGGCACCATCCGTGGCACTGGGATCATCTTTATTTACGCCCATGCATGGTGGGTCTGAAGGCTCGTTTGCATCAGAGGGGTTTGCTGCGGTCATGGCTGCTTGTCACACTGCCAGTGCCACTGGTAGCAGCGACCGCATGTGTTCTAAGAGGCAAGGTGCTCTGTTGCTGCCAACAACAATTCTCCCGGCTCTGGGAAGTGTGTCACTGGATCGGACACGGGCAGATGGAGCAGCAGAAGCAGGAGATAAATCAGTGATATCAGCAGCAGGAGAGGCAAGGGCTGCAACTGCAGGCAGGATTGTTGATGTATCTGGGGATTCACAAATGGGGAATCTGGGATTGAGCAGCAGTAAGGGCACTGGAAGGAAGCTCTCTCCCAAAAGGAGTCGTGAAGAGGACGGCTGATGCTTGCCAAGAGCAAATATTTTAGGAGCCTTTGTATCTCTTGGGGCTGTTAGTGTACATAGAGTGGTGGTGACAACTCTAGCCCATGAGAAATAAGTAGAGCTGACATGTGAAGATAGTGTACCGTATTCTCCCGGATAAAACACCCTAGGGTATTATGAAAACCACTGGGAAAAAATGGGGGGGGTCTCCTCAAAGGAAAATCCTGCATAATACCCGGGTCTTATTATATGGTATATTTTTTATCAAGCAGAAAAGTTGTGAAACAAAATCAGGGGGTCTGACTTCACTTCAAGATTGTTGATCAGTGCCGCAAAACCGAGTATACGAGGATAACGTGACTGCCCACTGGAATCTGCCACGTGGCAAATTCCAGTGGGCAATTCTGGCACTTGATAGGGTGAAAACAAAGCCAATTGCGTAGCGAGGGTTCATGCAACCGCCGAGGCCAGAATCGCGCACAGTGGTGCGTCGTTACTGTACCAGTCAGTTCTTGACTGGTTTGGTCACGTGTCTATGCCTCATGTGAGAAGGTGATTTTCACCTCTTGGGCCACTTGCAGCGGAAGATTCGCTTGCGTGGCGAGCGACAGCGAGATTGTGGGAGGGGGGAAATCTCGGCAAATTCTACGGTAAGTGAAAGTACACGCGAAATTTCATCTAGGGAGCAATTCTCGCGATATCCCCCCCGTAAGGAATCTGACTCAATAACAACTATAATAGGAATCTATAAGAAGAGGGGGGTGTTATAGAGAATCACCCCAAAAGGGGGGGGTATAGTACTAACGGGGTCGGATATAACACCCACCCCGTATTAGCTACCCGGGGGTGTACAATTACGGGGGGGTGTTTTATCCGGGAGAATACGGTACCTTCCATTTCCCTGCAAGTGCTGGAATTTGTGTACCGTCATCCCGTGGATACGCATAGGTGCATGATAAAGAAACTGAAAGGAGAAAGGAAGAAAAGAAGATTAAAGAAACTCGATGTAATATATCATACAAAACTAGATGGCATAAACAACATTGATATTGGCACACGTAGTTGTAGTTCTTGTCATTGTGTCCTTCAATATAGTTGACATGATAGTGGGTTGTGCATGTAATTCTCTTCAGTTTGGAATTTGAATAGCTTGAGGCTATTGTGCGGTTGTTGATGAAATAATACCACACTTAGAACAATGAGAGAAAAAAAAGTTGAGCAATTAAGGCTGTCGCTTGATGTACAAAATAACCATAGGTTACGTGTGCAATCGAATGAGCAAATGGGGATTGTCTTAATTTGCATAGGATGTAGGTACTACTAAGCTTGAATGAAGTTTGTACTTGAAGAATTGGATGAAATATTTATTTCCTATCTACAACACATTTTTTGCATGTACTCCTATGGCTTCTATCCAACTTCTCAAAGAATAACGAGCTGATTTCGGGGAATAGGAAGGGCATTATTCCTACCGTTTCATGTCGACGCTATCCATTGACCCTGAGCCAGGTGTCACCATCATATGCACAAAACAGCTTCAGGGAAAGACATCTGCCCATGAACCAGCTGCTTAAAATGCAAAATCAGAAGTCCTCTTCACGGCTTCTTTTGGGAGATTGCATCCTTCCAGTGCCCTGGCTGCCGCGATTCCCTCTTTGTGTTTCCCCTGAAACACTGGCAATCATGCTTGTAGTGGTTGCTTCTGCACCTGCAGATGCACCTACTTCTCCTGCTTCTGCTGTTGCTGCTGTGGTTGAGCCTGCAGATGCTGCTGCTGTAGATGCTTCTCCTGATTCTGCTGCTCCATCTCTCCATGTTTGACCCACTGTCAGAGGTACCGCTGGTGATGGGAAGAATGATTTGGGCAGTGACTGAGCGCTGCCAACCATGCTGCTAAATGGATGCGGGCTGAGCCCACTGACCATGCTGCTGAACGTGCCCAGTTCTCCCTCCGCATCCATTAGAAGCGCTTCTAAGTCTGATATCCCCAACCCATCCACCGGAGCCATCAGGTCCCCGCCTCCTCTTGCTGCCGCCGATTTCCCAGCTGCCGCGGCTGCCCCTGATGCTGCATCTCCAACCCCTTCTGCTGCATCTCCCATCCCTGCTGTCTCCACTCCTGCTCTCTCCACCCCTCCTGCTGCTGCAGCACCCACAGCAACTTCCGCCACCCCTGCACCGGCTCCTGCTACCCCTGCTGTTGCAACTCCCACCCATCCTGGCAAGTTCGCTTCTCTGTGATCCATTCCAGAGCCTCCTGCTCCTCCATACCAGCTGACATGGCGGATAATAGCTTCCAAGCCACCATCCCCACTGTCCCCTCCAACCCTCCCCTCTCCCTCCTTCCCCCTTCCAGCCATCTCTGTTCCACCTCTCCCCCACGCGCTGGTATGGAGGAGCGAATCACTCTGGGTTTCTATCTCTGTCCTCCCTTGCTCACCCTGCCCACCCATTGCCCCTTGCAATGACCCAGGATGGTTGTAGCTGTGGGTGGAGCGAAAGGGCGTTACATACTGATTGGCACCTTGCAGAGGGACAGCTGGGCAGGAAGCGCTTCTGGGACGCGGGGGGGCGGGACTGAGTTCCTGCTGCTGAGACATGTGCTGCTGAAGCATTTCATGCAGGGAATATTGGTCATGCTGCTGCTGCTGCTGCTGTTCTGGGTACCCAACATTCACTATGTGCTGCCCCTTGTGTCTTTTCCCCTGCTGGGCTCCTGCCACCGAATATTGGGGTGCTACAGCAGAATTTGGGGGTGCTGCAACCGATCGTGCTGCTGTGCTATTCAAGAGCCCATTTGAAGCCATATTGAGAGCTGCAGCCATTCTTTGAATGGCAGAGGCTATGGGAACCACACCAGAACTTGAAGCAAAGGCAGGGGCAGGAGCCGTAGCAGCCTCAGTCGAAGAAGCAACAGGATTTGCACTGGTGCGAGTTGTAGTGGCCGGTTCGGTAGAGGCAGCAGTGGTACTGGCTACTGGATTTCCTAAAATGGATTGGAGAAGATTTGCCAGCCGCTGCATCTCCTCCTGTTGGTTCTTTTGGCCTGCTGCTGTATCCCCTGTCTCAGCTGAATCAGCAGTACCAACTGGGTTAGTACTAGCACCAGCAGCAGCAGCAACACTAGACGTTGTACGGGGGTGAGATTCACCAGATGAGGATGCAGACATGGAAGCAGAAGGGGCAGGACGGAAGGCGTGTGGAGGAGGAGCAGACCAGGAGGACAAAGGGGCTGCGATCGCCTGCTGGTAACTGCTCTGCTGTGGTGCACTGTGGCCTTGCTGTTGCTGAGAGGTAACCATGAAACCAGCTTGCTGGTTTGGTGGTTCTCTCGTGAGTGGCAGAGAGAGAAGCTGAATGTGGTTGTGGGTGGGGGGGAGCGGAAGGAAGGGATTGGCTGGTGTCAGCACAGTGGCACCTGGTGTAGGTGGTATTGTCATTCTGTCTGGTACTGTCATTCCTTCTGGAACTACCATCTGATCCTCCCCAGTGCGCATCCCCTGCTGCATCACCTCCCATAGCCCAAAAGGCTCTGCCTCTGCTTGGACCTGAATAAGAGGGTCTCCGTCCCTGCTGCAAGGTGGCTCTGAGGACTCTACTTGCAACAAAAGCTGCCTGAATGATGGGTCGGGATAGAGCACTTGCTCTAACTCGTGCTGTACTGCCGGGATGTTCTGTTGGTGCTGCTGCTGGAGCAATGAGCCCTGCTGCATGGCTGTATTGCTGCTTTGTTGCTGCTGGGACAATAGCCCCTGCTGCACTGTTGCCCTGCTGCCATGCTGCTGCTGCTGCTGCTGCTGCTGCTGCTGCTGCTGTAGCAACAACAGTTGCTCCAGTAGTGGATGGGTCAATAACCCTTGCGGCGTTGTTGGCCTGCTGCTGCCAGCACCAGGCTGGATAAAAGGAGAAGAAAAGAGTCCAGTGTGCGGGCTGGGCAGATTCAGGAGAGGGGAGGCGGGACCTGGATGGGCAGAGGGGTTACCAGCTCTTTCTGCTGCTCCCACTGCTGCTCCTGCTCCTGCTACATCCATTGCTACAGACGCCATTGCTGCTACTGCTGCTCCCACTGCTGCTCCAGTATCCAAACCTACTGCTTGGCTTGCTGTGTCATTGCTCCGCCCATCTACAGGCATTGCGGAGAAGGAAGAGTTGGGTGATTGGCTGGCTGTGAGGGTAGTTGGGGAGTTATCCCCCTGGGAATCTGTCGAGGGTGAATTACTCTTGACGGTTAGTGTCACACCCGTAGGGTACCCTGTTGCTGGTGCCAAACTTCCCATCCTGTGTGCAGTCACATGAGCCACTGCCACGTTGCTTCCTCCCATACCACCTGTGACAACTGCCTGCTGCTCTGCTCCGCTCCCTTGCGGGTGCACTAAGAGCGGCGGTTTCACACCTTGTAGAGGAGGCCCACCCAGTTGCTGCTGTTCTACCATCCTCTGCTGTGCTACCATTGCATGTTGAGCTGCCATCACCTGTTGGGAGCTTCGCTTGAGCACTCTCACGACCACCCACGACGCCAGGTTGATCTTTTGAGCAGTGCCAGTTTGACGTTCTGAAGTGCTGTCCTTGGGGCTGCTGTTGCTGCTGCTGGCTAAAACACCACCAGCAGCACCACCTGAGGCACCCTTAGCTCCCAGACCTCTGGTGTCTGGGTTGGTCGCCTCATCGTCTCTGCTGCTGTTGACAGCGCCACCTGCTGCATCCCTTTCTGCAGCTGTAGCATGTGCCACGTCTGTACCAGCCAGTCCAGCTACAGACAAATCCTCTGTCAGCCGGTACTCGTGCATGACCCAGTCAGTCTTGTCGCCTCCTGGTGCTCGCCCCCTGATGTCCACAGAAGAATGACAAAGGAACTAAGGCTTGTCAAGTAAACGGTGTATCTTACCATGCCGAACACTGAAGACTTAAAGTATGGAAAAGAAGGTGGAAAAAATCATAATCCCGCCAGATTAAAGAAACATATAAAAAACCTGACCAGATAACCTCAGAAGCCATAACTATACACAAGCACAAGCACACACACTCTCTCTCTCTCTCTCTCTCTCTCTCTCTCTCTCTCTCTCTCTCTCTCTCTCTCTCACACACACACACACACACACACACACACACACACACACACACAACACCCAAAACTGGGACGACGATCCAAGGGCCCAAACAACCAAGCTGGAGACCAAACCAACACTCGGAAGAGCAGAAACAACAACCTGGTAATCTAAAGAAAAGCAACCCAAAAAAGACAACCTTAAAGCCTAAACAGCAATTAAAAGGGCCGGAAAACACAATCTTAAACAGAAAACCAAGATCCCAAAATAGCAATCTGAACAAATAATTAAAAAAAAAAGGTTGGAAACCCATAGAAGTTGCAGAAGGCTATGAACAGATGAAAACAAAACTTGAAAACCCTTTCACACAATTCGAACCCGAACAAGCTACCTCAAGAACTGGACAAAAAATCAAAGCGCCGGAAAACGATAATAAACCCCCAAAACCAAAATCCAAACTACCATATGAAATCACCCAAACCAAAATCCAGAACAAACAAGCTGAGAATCCTACTGAACAATCTGGAAAACAAACTATTCATAAACCCAAGCATGCAAGCTGAACAAGTGAACCGAACCCAAATGAAGGAAAAACACACACACACACACACACCCCTCCCCCCTCCCCCCCCCCCCCCCTCCCCACACACACACACACACTAGAAACAAACAAACGAACAAGCACTTAAAAAACCAAAAGGAACAACATAAAAAATCGATCAAATGTCTCGTCCAGGCAACAGAAAACTGAGCAAAGAAAATGAGCAACAAATCTGAGAGTACAAACAAGGAACAGGAGCCAGAGGAAAACTGTCCAAAGGCCTGAACACGCAACCCCAAACCAAATAGTCAATATGAAGACCTGAACAGCCAGGCCCGGAACAATCTAAAGAGCAGAACACGCCCAGCCCAAGAGGGAGAAACAATTGCAGATCTGAACTCACATATAGAAGACATGAGTTTTTTTGAATCCCACTCTGACTGTCTGGTCCTCTGTGCCTTCGTTGCCTGCGAACCGCACGTGCACTGGCCTGTCCTTCCCAGTGGCCTTCCAGTACCCAGCAGTTGTAGCTCGGTTGGACCTTGAACCCGATGGGTATTTGAGGTCGCGGGCTGCGAAGAAGAACCACTCGCCGTCGCAGGAAATTGGGCATGTCGCTCTGGCTGGGAGTGGCGGAGAGGGGGGGATGAGAAGAGAAGAGGGGTAAGTCATGTCTCTGAAGGTAGGAGGAGGAGGAAGAAGAAGAAGACGAAGAGAGAGAGAGAGAGAGAGAGAGAGAGAGAGAGAGAGAGAGAGAGAGAGAGAGAGAGAGAGAGAGAGAGAGAGAGAGAGAGAGAGAGAGAGAGATAGAGAGAGAGAGAGAGAGAGAGAGAGAGAGAGAGAGAGAGAGAGAGAGAGAGAGAGAGAGAGAGAGAGAGAGGGGAGAGAGAGAGAGGGAGAGAGAGAGAGAGGGAGAGAGAGAGAGAGGGAGAGAGAGAGAGGGAGAGAAAGAGAGGGGAGAGAGAGAGAGAGAGAGAGAGAGAGAGAGAGAGAGAGAGAGAGAGAGAGAGAGAGAGATAGAAAGAGAGAGAGAGAGAGAGAGAGAGAGAGAGAGAGAGAGAGAGAGAGAGAGAGAGAGAGAGAGAGAGGGGAGAGAGAGAGAGGGAGAGAGAGAGAGAGGGAGAGAGAGAGAGAGGGAGAGAGAGAGAGGGAGAGAGAGAGAGGGGAGAGAGAGAGAGAGAGAGAGAGAGAGAGAGAGAGAGAGAGAGAGAGAGAGAGAGAGAGAGAGAGAGAGAGAGAGAGAGAGAGAGAGAGAGAGAGAGAGAGAGAGAGAGAGAGAGAGAGAGAGAGAGAGAGAGACTTCCATGGTGTGAAATACCTCAAATGTTTTCACAGACAGAGGTAAACGAATTTTCCCCGAATACGAACACTGGTGTTTGTGAGTTACATTTAGGATGATGCTTATGCACCTGGCAGTTCCCAAGGCTCGGACTTGTACAGATCCACGTCGCCGATTGCATTCCATGCGATGGGAAGGCCCTCCACGCGCCGCCTGAGGTAGTAACACAGCAGCTCCTCGTCCGTCGGCCGGAATCTAATTCCTGGCGGGAAGCCATCACCTAAAATGTCATGTGTACTGCCACTTGCAGTGGCGGCAGTGGCATTGGTGGTATTGGGAACCTTAACTCCAGTTTCTGCAAGCTCAGGGTTCCTCATCTTGCCTCGTTTGGTTTTGTTGCCAGTGGAACTACTAGTAGTTCTAGTAAAGGCGGCACTTGTGTCCATATTATTTTCTCCAAGGGCCTGTTGAACAGGTTTTGTATCAGACGATTTCCTTTTGGAGGAAGTTCTTCCGAGGAATAATACCTTGAGTTTCTCCTGGAAACGCAGCGCGAAAACGTTCCATCATCGGGAACTGAGGGAAGCACTAAACTACTACTACTGGGACTGTTCGGAGGTAAGCGCCGTCGGCGGCTCGGATGCATGAGCCAACAAACCATCGGCGGCAAGTTGGTGGACGTGCACACGCCGAATATTGCTGGTCATACTGTTTTGGACTTACTGACACTACGAAGGGAATATGCGATGCGTGGTGGTAAATTTTTTTGTTGTGTGCCAAGTCTAAGACCATGAACTACTCCTTGCAAAAATCCATCTACAAGTTGGATACATCAAACGGATCTAGTGTAGTACAAGCAAGGTGCCCCATTCCACGCAGTCGGGCAGGAGAAACGGGCTCATCAATGTCTCGATAACCGGTTCTGTTTGTTCTGCCGGCGTCAGGCGGTGGTGTTGGTGCCTGTCAGGCTCAAACTGTTTCATTTTTTCATTGTCAAAACAACATATTACGAGACTAGCTTTGAATGACTCTTAGAGATATGCTTGCAAATTCGTGTGTTTGGGATAGTTTAGCAGCGAAACCACCCACACTTCGAGCTGTACGTACAGTAATGTATTATCCAATGCATAAGTATTATGGTACTGTTCTCCACATCCCAAATTTTTGGACGTTCAAAGGGGACCCGATTTCCCAGGCCGACGACATAATTACAGCCTAGCCTGCGTCGGCCGCCAACTTAACCGGAATCGGCAGCTCCGGCAGATGAAATTCCCCTGAATTTCTCCTCTCACAAGTACACGCTGCCCGAATGTCAAGCATGCGTACATTCTATGTTCAAATCCAGCAAAAAATGGACCATTCCTGTGTACTCGTTGTCAGATATTCTTCGACTAGTTGTTATACACAAACTGGAATCGGTTAGTCTTTGTGAATAGACCCCCAGCAATGATTGCCTTCCAAACTTTCAACGGGTAAGACAACAATGAGGGCCTGCGTTACAAGCGAGTGGCGGACACGTACATACCGCTACTTTCAAGGTCAGTGGTTGTGTGGTCACGTGGTGCACTACTGTTCCGGTGCACGCAACACAACAGAAGCTGAGGACGGCGATGGTTTGCCAGCAGCAACACCTCTGTCCAGCACAACACTTTCAACCCTTGCAGTGTGGTGAAATGCCCTTTTCCAGCGCGCAAACGTCAGGTAATTAGTCGGCCAGCTCGATCACAAACGTTCGGAACCGACATAACGACGTTGACCGACGTTTAGCCGTCAACTAACCGCGGGCAGAAGTCAAATAAGTGTCAAGGCCAATCGGGACGGGGTCAACCCTCCAAAACCGGCTGGTTCTTATGTGCTGTGCCCATCCCACCCGAGCCGCATGCAACCCAGATAACGGACCGTCGAGTTTGATTGACGGCGCGACATGCGTCAAAGATGTACAATTTGGGTGAAAAGAAATTCAGGTCGTTCTGGTGGGTGGGACCGCACGATTGTTTAGTCTGGGGGCCAGTAAAACGCAACGAACGTGACGTAACCAGACCATTCTCGACAAAAGATAGAATGATTACTCGGGGCCGGCTGTCTCCGCTCAATCCGCTCAGCCGATCAGTCGAACCAAGAATCCCATCCCAGCAATACCCTTTCAACAGTCAGATCCAATTCCGTAATTCCCGCTTGTGCTCAGAGACAAAACAAATGGTATATACCGCTATTTACTATATAGAGAAATACGGTATGCCTATATAGGACCCGGGGGTCTTATCCAATATGTTAAAAAGTAGGGAAAATATGCCACAGGTAACCAACTTGGGACTCTGAAAAAAAAAAAAAAAAAAAAAAAAAAAAAACGCGTACGGTCATTGTATCGGATTTCCTGACGAGTTCGGTAAGCGGGGTCACGGATTCAGTCACTAACAACAGGTAAGAAATCACGCGAATGGTCACACATGAAACTCCCGCCAAAAAAACTTGAAACTCAACAAAATTCCCGCTCGCGCCCAACTTATCTGCGAACTTGTAAAAAAACTAAAACCCAATCGGAATCGGATGCGGTTTGAAAACGGATCAACCATAAACTGTCAGTAGATCTGCACTGTGGATGCCCGATTGATCCTGGAGAGGGTTACAGGCGCGTTCGCCTGGGGGGCTATGGGCGCACTGACCCACTACCGAAACAAGCCCTTTTATCCCAATGGTCTAGTGGTTGGGATTCTGACATGGTATCAGAACGGTCTCGGGTTCGATTCTCGGTATATGCACACGTAGGCCGGTGCCGCTGTGCTTAGTCCTGGGCCTCCCAGTGTGGGGGGGTGTCAGTAGATCTGCACTGTGGATGCCCGATTGATCCTGGAGAGGGTTACAGGCGCGTTCCCCCGGGGGGGTTATGGGCGCACTGACCCGCTACTGAAACAAGCCCTTTTATCCCAATGGTCTAGTGGTTGGGATTCAGACATAAACACCTGGCGAGTTACGTGTTATGTGTTGACCTTCCGAAAACGCATCCAGGTTCTTTTTGGGTTTCATTTTGTTTTGACGGGAGTTTCATCTGTGACTATTCGCGTTTTTTTTTTTTCCAGTTGATTGTGACTGATTCCGTGAAACGCTTTATCAGTCGCGTGAAAACACCCTTTGCAGTGACCGTACCCTTCATTTTTTTACCAAAAATGTTTTCGAGTCCCATGATGGTTACGAATGGCATATTTTCCCTAAAAAGTAGCCTAGGTGAACAATACAAAACAGTATTTTTAGAAGACCCACAAACATAATAAATTTCCAAAATCATGTTGAAATTCAACTAGTTACAAATTCCCTCCACATTCACAACACAATTTCTTTTCGCAATGCCGCGTATTGGCATCTTGATTGTATTTTGGCCCAAATTCGACCACATCGGTAAATTTGGGCCTGACAATGGGAATACCCATCACCGCCGGTATAGCGTTGACATCCTATACCTGCCAGCACCTGCCTGCGGCCCGCTGTGGCATGTTTTCGGACAGGAGAGAAGATTCGTCCGTTTAGAAGGTTCGATGCCCGCCTTGTTGGCTAAGGCACCAGATGGAGACGTAAGCGAATCGGGGTCTAGGTCGCTCACGTCTCTGAAACCCCCGCTTTCAGAGGGGGTAGTCTGGAAGGATGGGCCTCATTGTTGCGTTTTTCCGCTGCGTTCATTCTTGGAGCTCCCTCCCCTGTTTTAAAGATGAGTGTTTTTTGCCTCTCTCAGCTAGAGCCTGCTTACGCAGGCAACTTTCAACATGCCAGCTCTAGAGATGTTGTAGGGAATGAGGGTTAGGAGCGCATCGAGGGCAATTGCGTCGTTAGCGAACGTTCCACCAGCCCCACCCACACCTCCTACTCCTCCAACTCATCCTATGCCACCGAGGCTGCCTTCCTCGCCGTCACCTCCTGCTCCACCCGCACTTGCGCTAACCGTGCCTCCTACCCATACCCATTCGAACCGGTAAATGAAGAGGACAAGTTTCTTTCGCCACTCGCTTCTGTCGACGGGTCTCTAGCCGCCGACACCAACACCGACTGCGACGATGACTCTAACGAGTCAATTTCCGCGTTTCCTATGCCTGAGTTACCCCCTGACGTCCTTCACGATCAAGAACCTACTGTAATCCTCCATGATTCTATGAACTCTGATGCCCGCAACAGGGTTATGCAGCATCGCCGGACATCATGGATGATGGTCGAGAAGGCAGAGTGGCCTAGGCGCATGCGCGGAGAGCAACTGACGGTGCGCACGACGACACTCATTGCCGGCGTCGAGCAGATCAGCGTGCATCGGTGGAAGAAAGCGGAGGAGCATATCGGCTGCCGCTTGTATCGTTGGTGGCAGGAGACAAACCAAGTACCCCGACATAGAATTGTCAATGCTCAAGCAGTTCCAATCATACCGCGGCCGTGGCTTGGCTATGCCGATAAAGCTGCTGCAAACTTGAAGCCGAGTGAAGACCAAGATTGGTCAGCGCATAACGAAGGGTGAGTATTCGTGCAGTTTCATGTGGTTCTTGATTCTTAGCCGTTGTCCTAACGTCTGTGTTTGCTGCTTTGCACCGGAGATTGCAAGCCGAAGTGCGTGAGGTTTTGGCGCTTCTGCCGTAAGCAAGTGATCCGTCACAACCATCGAACCCCGGAATATGGTTAATGCAGATCAGATACCCGTGTTTCTAGAGATGTCGTACTAGCGCACACTGCACCACCGTGGTGAACGTACCGTCCACATTCGCAGCGCCGACTACAAAAACGAACGCATGACAGTAATGCTGGTAGTTACGGGAGATCGTCACAAGTTGGACCACACGGTGGTTTCAAGAGGAAGACGCTTCTGAACGTGCGTGTCCCTCCAAGTAAAGTTTATGCTATTCTATTGCTGGGTTTCCCTCCTGAACGAAAACTAACCCACTCTTTGTCTGGTCGTAGGGATGCTCATCCAAGCCTAAAAGCGCGGCTGGATGGATTCCGGCCTTGTCATGGACTAGGTGCAGAATGTGCTGCTTCCTTACACCCCTCACCCCCCCCTTTGGAATGACACGGTCTAGGACCCTGCTAATCCTGGACTCGTATTGGCCACCTGATCGAAGCTGTGCTCGGGACGCTAAGGTGGCAACGCGTGGTCCGTGCAATCATCGCTGAAGGATGCATTTCCTGATGTAGCCTCTCGACGTTGCGATTAACAG